TGGGTTGGTCCAGTAGCGCCGAGGAGCGGCGCTACTGGAGCAACCCAGCAGCACCCCAGGACTACAGGAAGCCCGAGGGAGAGTTGCTCTGCCCCGGGCTTCCTGGAATCAGCTGCTGATCAGTTTCAGCAGCAGCTGACTTGGGGACGCTTGGGGGTCTTAAGTTGATTCTGTATGTAAGTCAGAACTGGCGGTCAGTTTCAGCAGCGGCTGAATCTGGACGCCAGTTCCGACTTACATACAGATTCAACTTAAGAACAGACCTACAGTCCCTATCTTGTACGTAACCCGGGGACTGCCTGTACTAAAAACACAGATTAATATATCTCTGTCCCCAATACATACATATTACGCATTCCACGCACCTCTGTGTAATTGCACAGTGATCTTAGGAAATGTATTGCTGTGCAGCAACATTTATTTTTATTTCTTTTGTGTTTCAAGGAAAAGTGGAGGCAAGCTTAGCCTACAGCATGCTGGTCTAAAAAGGGTAAATCCAAATGTATTCTATTTGACATTAACATACAGGATGGATTTCTACAGTCCAGATTTCTGTGGTCTGGCAACATCTGTAGTCTAGCATCCCTGTGGGTGCTCACAGGCTGGCGCACTCATGGGGAAAACCTGGGCCCCACATTCGGCAACTCCTGCTCCATCCCCCTCTCAGAGCAGCACTCAAGCTCAAGGAGGAAGGGGGAGGAGTGGGATTAGGGAAGGAGAGGGACACTGGAGGGAAAAGGCAGGGGGCAGCAGATCCCCAGGGGCACAGTCCAGTGGCTACAGAGTTCAGCGCACTCCCACAGGGCTGCATGCCTGGCCCCTGGCCATGGGGCTCTGTAACCATCCTGCTTCTTCCCCTAAGGATCTGTGCCCCACACAGTACCTGCTCAGTTAATACTGGTCCCTCTACTATAGCTGGAGCCAAGCCCCACAGCTGGTGGAAGCAGAGGGTCCAGCATTGACCAAATGGATTGGGGGCTTGGCAGAAGTTGGAGAAAGAGTCATGATGGCTAGGTAGCCATGTAGTCACAGGCCCGCCCTGGAGGGGTGGAAGAGGAGTGCTTAGGGGAAGAGGTGAGGGCCAGGAGCATTCCCTGTCCCTAGGGCTCCACTCAGATAACAACTTCTTCATTTTGCAGATTGATTGTAGACGATACTATGGCCAAAGTAAAGACCCGCGCAAGATAAACTGCGACCGGATGTATGCACCAGTCTGTGGAACAAATGGTGTCACTTATGTTAATGCCTGTAGGCTGTGTGTAGAAATCTTGTAAGTCCTTGACTATTATCATTGGTATCACTGAATCAATGGTTAGAAATGCTGAGAAGAGTTCTCTTGTGAAAGCATTTTCTTTACACAGGGATATTTCAATGACCTGAGATTGTTGAGTCCCTGACTCACCCCCATGTTCTTTTGCCCTCTTCTGTTTATGCCCCATGTCCCCAGGACAGACACCATAGTTAATATGATCCACTATATTTAGCTAATGGTTTATCTTCATGTAAGCACCAAACTACAAATCCAGAATGCAGCGTGAATCCATGGTAAAATCAGATCCATGTTCACATCTTTTGGGACAAGGAACTTCACATCCCCTATCATTTCTGAGATTGTATTGAAGAGAGAATCTGATGATTCCCAATGATCTCTCTCAAATATTCCATATGTTTTTGACTGTTGCTTATTTTCATACTGAGTTCTGGAGCATTTTATTCACCAGGCAGACAGTTTCACTGGCAATAACTGTCTTCTCTCTTCCAACTTTTTATCCTGCAGAAATGGGGCTGCCATAGACCTGGCACATAAAGGAAAATGTAAGAAGAAGGTAGTGTCATATTTTTATTGGTTATCATTAAAATTGACATGTAGCATAATATAAATACCAATCATGAAAATGTTGATAATACCTGAGCCAAAAATACATGGGAAAATCCTATCCTTACAACAACAACAAAACCCTCTAGGGATGGAGATTCCTCCACCTCCCTAGGTAACCCATTGCAATGCTTCAGCATGCTCCTAGTGAAATAGTTTTTCCTGATATCCAACCTACCCCTCCCCACTGTAACTTGAGACCATTGCTCCTCATTCTGTCATCTGTCAATACTGAGAACAACCTCTCTCCATCCCATCTGGTAGCTGAAGGGTGCTATGGAATCCCTCCTCACTCTTTCTTCTACAGAATAAATAAGTCCAAATCCCTCAACCTCTCCTCATAGATCATGTACTCCAGCACCCTAATCGTTTTGGTTGCCCTCCACTGGACCCTCTCCAATGCGTCCACATCCTTTCTGTAATGGGAGACCCAGAACTGGATGTGATATCCAGATGTGGCCTCACCAGTGATGAATAAAGGCAAATAATAACTTATCTAGATCTGCTGGCCATGCTCCTCTAATCCACCCTAATATGCCATTAGCCTTCTTGGCTACAAGGGCACACTGTTAATCATATCCAGCTTCTCATCCACTGTAATCCCCAGGTCCTTTTCTGCTGAACTGCTGCTTAGACAGTTGGTCCCCAGCCTGTAACAGTGCTTGGGATTCTTCCGTCCCAAGTGCAGGACTCTGCACTTATCCTTGCTGAACCTCATTAGATTTCTTTTGGCCCAATCCTCTAATCTCTCTAGGTCACTCTGGACCCTATTCCTATCCTCCAATGTATCTACCTCTCCCCCACAGTGTTAACTGTGAACTTGCTGAGGGTGCAATCGATCCCCTCATCCAGGTCATTAATAAAGATATTGAACAAAACTGGCCCTAGAATGGATCCTTGGGGCACTCTGCTTGAAACCAACCGCCAATCAGACATTGACCCATTGATCACTACCTGTTGGGCCTGACAAGCTAGGGGTGATCTAAAGGATTATCTTTTTTTAGTGGAACAGACGGTGTTTCTTATGACAGTGAACATGGTAGTGCTTAGAAACCATAATGATTGGAGTGTTTTAATTATTATACATCAAAGAGATGAGTTGGAAGCATGGCCTTTGTGGTAAAAGGAAAGCTGGGAAGATATGAAATTTGGGTTCTATTCCTGTTTATGTCACAGACTTTCTGTAGGAGTTTGGAAAGGTCCTGTAATATTTCTGGCCCTGATTCTCCTTCATGAAGTGGTCAGTTCATGCCACAATTGCAGCATAATAGAAATTAAAAATCCCCAGAGAGTACTCCTGTGTAAACATTGTCTCCACAATCTTCTCCATTGTGGGAAAGTCTTTTCATCTCTGTAGCGCGAATCAAACTCCATGATGTGGTGTGTTTATGCCACACCAGCCACTTAAAGGGATTTAAAGAGCCTCTTTATTCTGATCTTAGTTTGCTCAGCCCAGTTTTGTACCAAACTAACAGCCACAGATACACAAAAGTAGAATGGAAAATCTGGCCTACTCTGACTTTTTCTCACTCTGTAAAATGGAAATCAAAAGACCTTCTTCCTAGAGAAGACCTCTTACTTAAAGAAAGGTGCTATGTTAGCCCAATAGATTAGTTTTACAACAGATGACTTATTACTCCCAATAATAAATGTGTTTGAATTTTATATAACTACTTTTGCAGGATGACTGCAGTGAATATTCAAAATCACAAAAGAGGAAACACATTTTCTGCCCAACGATTTACAGGCCTGTCTGTGGCACAGATGGTATAACATATGCCAACAAATGTAGTTTGTGTTCAGCAAGAGAGTGAGTAAACTTACAAAGAATTTATTGTATAAAAGTCATTGTATATTTGGTGCAGATGGCAGATACAATGATGATGATATTGGGACACCAGGTGTTAGTGGGGCAAAACACTGTTTAATACTTTTTCTATAAACACAGGGCAGGTGTTATGTCGTGGGGAGTTTCAGAGTATAGGAAGAAATCAGTGGAAAGGCAGAGAGCTGGAGTAGGTGCAAGTGTCCATTTTATTGCATAGCACAGAACTCACCAGAACAAGCCCAGACTAGCTGGGCTGACCCCAGTGACCTACTCAGTTACCATAACAACAAGATCTATATCTACAACCCAATATACAACAGCAGGGTTTTCATTGAAAGATCTGACAAAGGAACCCAGAATGCATCTGATAGGCAAACCCGTCCTGCAGATGCCCAGAAACAAGAGTATGATGGTTTTCAAACTGTAAAAAAATTGGCAAAACATACCAGATAGATCAAAGAGGGCTGATATGAATATGTTTGTCTCAGTCAAATATCTTGTATGATACGGTCCATTTCCTTTATTATTATTATTATTTTTTACATGTGACTGCATGAGATATTTTATTTTGAAGACATACACATGCTTATTTTTTCTCTTCTCAAGGAAAACTGGAGTCAACATTGGCATAAAGTATGAAGGAACATGTAACCAAAAGGTATATCCACATATATTATATTTGCACTAATATAGTACAGTACCACCCAAAAGACTTTACAAGCTATAATATGTACACATAACCCCACTAGTCAGTCATTACTTGGGTGGAGAGCAGCAATGAATTTCCATACAGCAAACTAACCAGTAATTAGTGGGAACGGAAATATCAGCTGAGGAAATTATTCTTACAAAAATTGTCACACAATTTTAAATGCACAGTAAATTATGGGGGGAAACTGAATTTATTTACTATGGAAGAATGAAGAATAGAAGAATGAAGGACTTTGTGGGGTTTTATTTGGTGAAATGTAAGTCAAACAAATAATGTTTTGATTAGACAGCATTTTGGAGACATTGCCCATGCAAGACTGTTGCATTGAGATCATCATCTCCATTTCCCCCTCTGTTAGTTATGTTTTTATATTTCACTCAGCACCCTCAGCACTCTAAATATTCTCTCTCTCTCTCTAGATCAAGTAATGGAAGAATTGGCATACAATGTTCAGCATAAGTGATAAATTCTTCTTATACCTTTATGTAAAGATCTAGGAGCCATTTCTCCTGTCCATCCAGTATTCCAGACCATCCTGAATTGGCGATTCAATAAAACAAATGTAGCAGAAATTTTTGTCTTTATTCTTATATCAGCACAACACATTATGGGATTTTTGATGGACTCATTGAGTAAGCAATTTTTATCTTCATTCTCTATAAAATTAATAATGCAAAATTAAAAGAAGCTATTTGATAATGAATGTTCCAAATGATTGAATTCCTTGGGGAAGTCCCCAGGAAACACACACAATGGAGGACCTGAGTTAATATCAATCTTCCCCTGGAATTAATCCAAGGAGCCACAGATAAAATTTAAATAGTAAGCCAGGCAGCTTCCATACATTCACCTTTCCCTCCTCCTATCACCTCAGATAGCTACATAGTGAGCTATCATGATTTTCATCAATCCATTAATGTTGGGCAAATGCTTTTCAGGTATGAATGGATTTCTGATAATGCAAACTTGTGTCTCCAAGATACATGCAGTTCAAGTCATCCAAAGTACCTTGCAAGCCATCCTTAAAGGATACACTAAGGCTGTATCTACACTAGGCCACTTATTCCGGAAAAGCAACGTCCGTTAGTTCGAATTAACTTTGTAGTGTAGACATACCCTTAGACTTCAGGATTTTTTAACTTTTTGAATCTACTTTACACAGTTCTTGTATTACATTTCTGCGGAGATGGTTTAGGAATTGAGTTGTTTGATTCTGAAATTAATTGTGTCAGGAACACACCAAAAGAAATGACACCTAATTTTCTTCTTGTTCTTTTGCTCTATAACACCAAGGGATTCCTGCACACAAATAATTTCAATTATGGGAGACAGAGGTGGGACTAGGTGAAGACACTATGTAACATCAATTCTCCAAATCATATAGGAGGCCTTGAGTAGGTTTTGATTATCAAAGTTGTGGATTATTTACAGCATTAGCAATTAAATAGATATTGGGATACATGGAATTCTGAGTAGCAGTTGTTTACAGAACAATATGCAGAAAATATTCTAGATTTTCCCTCGTGCAAAGGTCTAACACTTTTATCCCTCCTTAGAGCATGTCTATACAGCAGCATTATTTTGAAATAACTTGTGTTGTTTTGAAGTAAGTAGGTGAGTGTCTACACAGCAAGCCCGTTATTTTGAAATAATTTCAGAATAACAGGCATCTTATTCCGAATTCTGTAACCTTTCATTGCCTATTTTGCAATAGTTATTTCATAATAGGGCATGTGTAGATGGGGCAGCTGAGGTTATTTTGAAATAAGTGGCCTCCTGGTGGCCACTCTGTCAACACTCATCAGAACTCTATAGTTCCCCTTCCCCTGAAACCCTTAAAGCTGCAACCTCAGGGAAAACAGTTCTGTGGCATGACATGAGCCCTGCTAGCCCTGTGCCACACAGCAGTGCCCAGGTCGGACTTCCCTGCTGCCATGGCAGACCCCAGCACCCCTCCCGACCCTCCCATGGCTGCCAGCATAGCTGCAGGCAGCTCACAAGCCCCTGCCCAGGGGCAGAGGAAGCAGGCCCCATCTTGGATTGAGATCTGGGGAGATGAGGCAAACCTCCAGGATCTCCACACCAGGAGCAGAAATGCCGACATCTATGGCCAGATGGCTGACAGCCTGGGCCAGAGAGACCACATGACACCCAGGAGCAGGTGAGCATGAAAGTAAAGGAGCTCAGGCAGGCCTATACTAACACCGGGGAGCACATCTCCCACTCAGGAGCAGCACCCCAGACCTGCCCCTACTTCAACCAGCTCCACTGCATATAGCTCAGTCCCTTCCCCTTCCCCCCTTGTTGTGGACTCTGGGCTGGAGACGCCCATTGTCATCCTCCCGGAGGGCAGGCCTGTGGTTGAGGAGGAAGAGGATGAGGCGGAGCAGGACCAGACTACTTACACCAGGATGCTCGACAGCCAGGAGCTCAGCCAGTCCCTGGAGCTGGTACCACCCTCCCAGGATGTCGCCCTGGGTTTAGACAAAGTCAAGGAAGGCCCATCAGGTAAGCTCCATTACTGTCCTTAGACACACACAGGGGAGGCGGTGGGCAGTGGGGGCAGTGCACTCCTTGCTTGGCCGTCTCAGCCTGGGATCACGAAGCAGCCTGGGCACATGGGTGCACGTGGAGTGCCAGTCTGGAGCAGACAGCTGCAGTGAGACTGCCTCAAAGGACCACTGTGCTCCTGCTCACAGGGTTTCCAGACAGGCCTGCCTTAAGCCACCACTAAGGAGGATGGGGTCATGGACACACCACACCAAGCCCAACCCCAACTAACCTCATCCTCCATCAGGGTTTTGTGAAGCCAGGACTGGAAAACCTCCGCAGGAGGGAGCTTCCACTGCCACCACCCCTTTCTCTAGGGAACCCCAATCCAGCAGTTCACCACCCTCCCAATAATGTAGTAAGAGAGTCGTACCTACATGACTACAACCCCAACAGTCAATCTTCCCATGCCAAACTGGTTCCAAACAGAGCAGTAGCTGTCTGATGTGGCAAGCTTCCACAGCACGATGGCGATTTGCTTCTGGAGGGGGATGGCTGGTCTCATATGGGTGGCCCATCACCAGAGGGCAGGAGTGAGACACCTGCACAGCTCCAGGAACATCTCCTTCCTCATGCGGAAGTTCTGGAGCCACTGCTGGTCATTCCACCACTCCATGATGATTCAGTCCCACCAATCAGAAGTGGTGTCCAGTCGCCAGAAGCGGTGGTGCCCGGTGTGCAGGAGAGGGTGGGAGGGGTTGTGCTGCATGAGCAGTATGTGGAGAAAGGTGAGGAGGTGCCTCACAGGGAGCTGCAGGTCCTGGCTCTTCGGTGCCACGAGGGCAACCTGCAAAAACTGCACCAGGTCCGACTCTATGGCAGAAGTGCAACCAGAGCACGCAGTGAAAAGGCTTTGCTGTCCTTTGAGGAGGTAGGCAAAGGAGAGGAGCCTGAGACACAACTGTACAGAGAGTCGCTTTAATCATGAGCCTCAGATAGCCTCAGGTAGCAGCTCCAGGAAGTGACTGCTGTCCTGATGCCCTGCCTGGAGTGCTTCCAGGGGCTGGGATCAGCACTATTTCAATGGGCATTTGCAGTATAGGCACACTATTAGGAAATGAGCTATTTTGGAGTTTTTATTCCAAAATCGCTTATTCCAAGGGCTTTTCCGGAAAAGCAGCCTGCCAATGTAGACGCTCCTTTTCTGGAAAAACTGAAAACGGAATAGTATTCCGTTTTAAGCATTTCCGGAAATTCATGCCAGTGTAGACACAGCCCAGTTGTTTAGCTCTACAAGGTAATTAACTGTTAACATGTAAATACCGCTCAGGAGAGAATCCAAGGTATGGCTATGTAAATCCCATTCAGCCAGGGCTGATGGAGGGTCAGTGTTGGAATGGAATGTGGAGAATTGTATATAATTTGGGACTGTTGTGGGGGTAACTAATCATGCTACCCCTAAATGTGGGAACTGTAAAACATGCCACCAGTGCTTGCAGGAGAGACACCATCATCATGGTAAGAGGTCTCGGAAGAACAAGCTCCCCCCCTTCCAGAGTTGAGTCAACAGAGCTGGGGGAAAGGGTTGAAGGACTTGAGTCAGCCTACTTCACACCTGCCAGGGGTGAGCTATAAGACTGGCCCAGCCTGCACCTTTCCCCCTTTGTTTTAAGGACAGACCTCAAGCAGACTCCCTGAGGAGTCTTTTCTTTCGCTAGTCCAGTGAAAGCTGGATTCATTTGCCAGTCCATTGTGAGCTATAAGACTGGCCCAGCCTGCATCTTTCCCCCTTTATTTTAAGGACAGACCTAAAGCAGACTCCCTGAGAAGTCTTTTTGTTTGCTAGTCCAGTGAAAGCTGGATTCATTTGGCAGCCCAGCTGGTGGCTAAAGAGTTGAAATCACTGAGCTGAAATTATGGGCTTGGCTGAGAGCCAGCCCTATTGCAGCCAGTAAAGTGGCGGCGACCAGTGGCCTGGCGTGGAGCAGTGGCAGGCGAAGAGCAGCCATCAGCGGCGTGGCGTGGAGCAGCAGCAGGCGAGGAGCGGCGACCAGTGGCGTGGCGTGGAGCGGCGGGGGGGGGGGAAGCGGGAGCGGCGTGGCGTGGAGCAGAGGCAGGCGAGGAGCGGCGACAGGCGACCAGTGGCATGGTGTGGCGTCCAGAGGTGTGGGACGAGACAGCTGGTGAAGCGTGGCAGAGTTTCGTATAGGGTGCTCCCCTATCTATCCCGCCACCCCCATTTCTACCCAGGTTGGGAGGTGAACCCTGCGGGTGAACTTTGGCGGGTCAAAGACTTGTGGGGACAGAGACTTTTGGGGAGTCGGATTCTGTGGACTTCGGGCGATTCTTGGCTGGGGTGGGGGCTTGGCTCATGTTTGGGTTATGAACTCTGTTTGTGGTGTTTTCCCCAAGCTAATGCCGTATGAATTCTCTCTGTTTCATTAAATGTTCTTTTCCTACACTCAGACTCAGTGCTTGCGAGTGGGGAAGCATTGCCTCTCAGAGGTGCCCAGGGGTGCGTTAATTTCCCAGATCACTGGGTGGGGGCCCGAGCCGGTTCTTTGTGAGATTGACCCCAAGATATTGAACCCAGCCCTGGTTACTGCCAGGCCTACCCGGCAGAAGGGTTACAGTTCCCATAATAGAAGGACTAAAGGACACCAAATGAAATGAATGGGTAGCAGGCTTCAAACTAACAACACAAAGCAAATAGTCAACCTGTAGAACTCCTTGCTACAGGAGGCTGTGAAGGCTAGAACTAGAACAGAGTTTAAAGAGAAGTTAGATACAGTCATGGAGGTTGGGTCCATGGAGTGGTATTAGCCAGAGGATAGAAATGGTGTCCCTGGCCTCTGTTTGTGGAAGGCTGGAGACGGCCACTTTCCTGTGCTTAGTGCGGAGGTCGTGGATGAGGTCCACGATGTCTGCACTAGACCAGGCGGGCGCCCGGCGCT